GAAACATACAAAATAACTGGAAGTGTTGTTCAACTGAAAATGTCACTACAATTGCGAGGTTGTTAGATGTATAGCCAAAAATTCTGAATAAGCGGTTTTTTCTGTTAAATATAGCCAACAAAATGAAACATTAAAAATGTTTTATGCGCACAAACATATAAAAGAACTTTGGTCACAAAACGTTATATTCCTAACAATAACAGAGAGCAATAGTTTTTATTATTCCTTCAATAGTCTTATATAATAACTTCTAAGTATAGCTTTAATTTAAAATTTCAATATTGATAAGGACATTCTTCTAGTGTTGGCACGATTTCCAATCACGTAGTAAGAAAAAACATACTGTGATGAAGCAGTCTATAACAGCAACGGGAGGTGCTGTAAACAATGCAGAAGTGTTGACATCACATGAGGAACAAGTTCTTGATATTATGTGTGCTACGAGTGTGAATGGCCATCCAGATGTATTTGAATCTAATGTAAATTTGTTGCAAGATTTCGATGTAAGATTACATTAAATATTGAATATTTTCCATATTACTTATATTTTCTAGTATTTCATAAATTATATATATGAAATATATAAACCGTATTATATATTAAAATAAAAAATGTAAGAATTGTGTATATACGCATATACTTTTATGAAATTAACATTTAACTGATAAAGAATAAAATGTATTTATTCCCAGAATGATGAAATGGAAGTGGAATATTTATATGAATATGAAAAAGAGGCACGATCGAAGATTGTTCATTGCACAGATTCCATCAACAATACCAACATATTATCTGTACAAAATAGAAAAACTATTCTTGACAAGGAATTTAAAAACTCTGTGCAGTTTTCAAATGAAAAAGAGAATATAGACACACAGAGCGTACTATACAGTACGTCAAAATAGCATGGGAACACAATAAGTGTAGTAAGCTTTAAATCATAAGAAATTGGCAAACCTCATTCGATTACTCTTGCAAAAGTCGACTAGGATTTTTTAATTTCTTAATGCTTAAAGCTTACTACACCTATTATATTTCCGGTCTTAAGCGATTTAAAAGAAATGCATGGGTAACTTTAAGTGCTTAGACTTCGAAGCGTTTGAAGTGTACAATGGATCGCGCCCTTAGATATGTCGAAACTCTGCGAAAAAACTCTGCCTCTTTTTAAAATTGCAAAGAAAAGTCTATACTTTATGGTTACATACTGATATATCTATATTGATGGTTATCATGATAACCATCAATATAGATATATCAGTCATTATAAATTTACGAAAAAGAAAATTTATTCCATTCCGTAGGATATGTCAAATTGTGAAATGTTTTTGTCCATTACCATTGACATCAGAATATGCAGCAATATTATTGAAATGTTTATAGCATCAGATGATTTTTTTCATATGCCGGCAAAATTCATTCTTTGTAAAGATCTTAATATCTTAATATTCCATGCGGACGCATCTTAATGACCTTATTATGACGAAATATATCTATCATTTCCGATGTATTTTTTTCAAAAATGTAACGCGGTAACCAAATTTGGACTAAGGATTTGTGTTTAATGGGCAAAAATACATCGGAAATGACTATTCACATTCGTACAACAAAAAAGTTAAATTTTGTCGTTCGGTGTCATTCATCGGCACAACGTGCATTTCTGCTAAGGAGAAAAGAGGAAAGCGTGATACATGGATACTATAGTGAGCGAGACACCTATAGAGACAGCACGGTGTCCCTATTGCTGTCTCGTTCATATTCTCTGCATTCAAGCATTCGTTGAGTGAGTGAGACAGCTATTGAGGACACCACTACAACTGTAACGTCTGCTGTTTTCTCTCTCAATCGGACGACGTGCGATAAGGATGCAACATCGAAAGTGGTCTCCCACCACATTCCCTACGTGCCTTCTTCGCTTCTCTCGCATTTTACGTAAGATGTACAGTATGCCCTCCGTATATGCCTGTTGTCGCTTTCGACTATTTGACAGGCGTGTACGGGCCCGCCGAGGAACACCATACCTGCCTCTGAATATACACGCACCGGCGTAGTGCCGTCTGTGTATCCGTGTGACTCGCACACGATGACGCGTCACTCACACACTGCTGCTTGTGGATGAACCACGAGCAGCACGGAGTGGCGGAGGCGGCTAGCGGTAAGCGATCGTCGGACGCTTGGGAAGAGAATAGTGGTGGGAGTCGCAGCGATCTTCCATCCTTTATCGCAGACGTAAAAGCGAGAGAGATAGCATTGTAAGACGTTGTGGACAGAAATGCCGTCTTAAAATATGTATGACACATACTAAGAAAACGCTTGACTCACACTGACTTGTCTATACGTGAGCAATACGCGGTGTCCCGACGACTGTTTCGCTCGTTCGAACATCCATGTATTTTTTCTTGTTAGCAACGAAATTACTGTAATATAAAAGGAGATGTTGGGGAAGGGTTTTCAGGAGGTTTCGACAAGTACTTTTTAATAGCTGCTCTTGAAAAAAAAATATTAGATTTATTTCGAAATAGAATACTAAATCAATATAGAATATTTCAACAATACAGCGCTTATAAAGGTTGTCGAAGTAATGTATTTTTAATTTTATTGTTGCATAAACACTTGAGATATAATTATTTCATATTTTATGCGTTCGAGTATCGTTTCATCGTTATAAAATTTGGTGCCCTGAAAAGAGCCGATATTTGCGTCTATTTCAAATAATTATTGTTCCTTATTACTATGGATACAGAAATGCGGAATACTATGGATATTGTTTCTGCTATCATCATGTGAATAGTTTTATGACCTGCGATATAAGTGGTGAATTCACCACTTATATCGCAGGTCATAAAACTATTTACACAAGAACAATGTTATTTTTTTCCAAAATTGAGTTTTTGTCGAAGACAAAACATTATATTATATTAGATTATATTAGATAATATAACATTATATTAGATAATACATTCTAAAAGAATTCAATATTCAGTATTCTATATTCAGACGGAGAAAACATTTATGTTTGAGAAAAAAGGGATTCTTTGAGTTTATAATGTATTATATCTTCGACGAAAACTCAATTTTGAAAAAAGATAACATTGTGCTTGTGAATAGTTTTATGACCTGCGATATAAACGGTGAACCCCAAGCAGTAAATCCCACAATGGCAGTAAATAAAAGAACTCTTCCTTTTTTCTAAATTGACTATTTGAAGTATATTTGTGCTAGCTCTTACTGTTTGTCCTTAACTTTTCCTTACTGGGAAAAAAATTTTCGAAAACTGTAAGCAACGGAAATTTATGATGTTTCCAGTAAAAAAACCATTAGAAGCTGGAAAACATTTAACATATAAATTTATTTATTATTTATTATTATTTACTATTATTTATTAATCAATTATGTTCGCGAGAAAGTCCAGTCGAAGCCATGGTTCTTTCCAAACAACGAACGAAAAAGAGCGGATAGCTTTTAATCATCAGAAATATTTTTAAGATATTGCATTGATTTCAAATAAATGTTAAAATTACATTTGAAAAATATTTTTTGTAATGTTTTTGAAATGTTTAAATAATATTCAAAAGAATCATATCATAAAATAACATGTAAAAAATATACAGGGTGTGGCGCCAAAATCCGGACAGATTATAATCTGTATTGACCAATTCGAATTCCTATTCCCTGTTCCTATTGCCTGTTACTTGGCATTCTGCAAGGGTCTTTAGCTTCCGTGCCTTTAGCTCCGCCCATTCCTTTCACTTTGTTTTATCCCTTCTTTCACCCATCACTTCACCAAGAAAAAGGTCTTTCGTGTAGTTCATCTGCGATCAGTCTCGTGTGAGATAGAGTTGTGCAAACACGCTTTGAACACTGTGACTCTGACTGTCATTGCGAAGAGATCTCGCTGGAAATCCTCGCTGGAAAGCTGTGTTGCCTTAAAGCTGCGTTGCTGTGTTGTAATATTCCAAAATTGATCAAATTTATCGATTGAACGGTTGTTCAAAAGTGCTGAATCTATTCTTTCAGTGTAATTTTACTTTCACTCATTCTCATCTCTTCCCTTGCCCATATCTTCTTCCTTGTTCTTACATCCTCCCTTAATTCTCTTGCCTTTAGCTCCGCTCATTCCTTTGTCCTTTCACTTCCCCTTATCTCTTCTCTCACCCTTATCTCCACTTCACCAAGAAAAAGATCTTTCGTGTAGTTCATCTGTGATCAGTCTCGTGTGAGATAGAGTTGTGCAAACACGCGTCGAACATTGTGACTCTGACTGTGATTGTGATTGTGAAGACTCTGACTCTGACTATGATTGTGAAGAAATCTTGCTGGAAATCTTCGCTGGAAAGCTGCGTTGCCCTAAAGCTTGCATTGCTGTGTTATGATATTAAGGTAAAAGATTTACTCCTATTCTTTTATATTTTTTTATATTTTTAAGCTTGCGTGTATATTCGTTAGTGTAATAAAATCGGACAAACCAAAATTAATTTTGCTAGATATTTGCTATAAATTCTGACAATAATATGCTTATAAAAATATAACAAGTAAATTGTACTAAATAAGTGCGGCGACAATATTTACAGCAGTAACTGAACAAGATCTGTCGTTAATTATTTAAATGCATTTAGACGCTATGGACGCTATGGACGTAGAGCATACACTCGATTTTATACTCTCAAATTTTGTTAGACTGTGTTTCGAACGGCCTGAGGGTGGAGAGCGGCCGGTTCGTTGTGCGAGATGCGGATAAGTGTCCGCTCGCCGCGTGGAGACCGCGAGCTTCGTCGCTAGCAGTCCGCTATCCAGCGGCCCCGTGAGATGACGTGGGGTGCAAGTGATCCACGAAGTTCTTCGGAGACGGGAGTCTTTGGCTCCGTGTTTTGGTGGGTCGCCGACTCGAATAAAGCGAGCCAGGGGGTCAATTGTATAGTGAAATTCACAAAAGTGAGCTCTCACTTGATTGAATAACTTTCATCATAGTGAAAATGCGATATTCATCACGTGAGATTGCTCGGAAAGAAATTCCATGTCGAATTGTGTTAAAAGTGCATCTAAAATGTAAAAAGTGTGCAAAAGTGTGTTCTCTGAAAATATCGTAACCAACATTGGTTGTATTTAGCGATTTAGCGGTGATAAGAGATCAGTGAGCGGTCAGTGATTATTTGTCTTTACTGATAGAAATTTAAATCAATTGCTTAATCGTTGTGCTTATACATGTGTGTTCGCTGAACGCACTTATTTTTGAGTGATGGACTATATTCTCTTTCTTTTTATGGAAGAAAATATGAACGACGACGATAATAAAATCCAAAAGAAGAATTTAAATATAATAAGGACATTAAGGGATACCCATTAGATATCCCAGATAATACATTTATGAAATTGTATAGGTTAAATAAATAAATAATTTCTTATTATGAAATATATTTACGTGTAATATATATATATATATATATATATATATATATATATATATATATATATATATATATATAT